TAGCTTTCCTGGGTCGGCTAGCTCAGTTGTCTTTCCTCCTGCTTTCTAACTTGCATCACTTTGTAGCTATTCTTTTCTCTCCAATTCCCTTTATCTCTTGGGTTCATATATATTTTTAAAAATCCCTTTGTGTAAGTTAGTGGGAATCCAGAGAAGTATGGGCAAACAAGTCTGTTTCATTCTCTATCTCTAAAGTGCACTCGACTCTTTCTTCACATGTATTTTACTGAGAAAATGTTCCAGTATGCAATTTTCTCTCTTAATGTTTATCTTTTAAAGTAAGGAAGGTAAGGAAGCTATAGCAGTAATTTTGGAGGCATATTAGAGCATTTCCTGCTGACAAAGTTGACAAAATTGTTGCAGAAACAAATGAAATTGCAATGACCTTAATTCACACAAACAAAACTATTTTTAAATTGGGGGGAATGAGGTAAATTGTGACAGTGAATGAGGGATTGTGAAGGGAATGAGGTAGATTGTGGGGAAGGGATATCCATAGAGTAGCAACAGTAGGGGATAAAGCTCTGGGCCAGGTCGAGAAGGTTTTATCAGCACAGCCAGGGGAAGCATGCCTGAAGCTGGGACCCGAAACTGTTTCTGAGGAGAGCCCAGGAGACAGCATTGATTGTCCTATTCAAAAGGCAGGCAAGACTGAGACATGAATTGGAAGGGGCAAAAGCTCAGGATCAAGGGACAGCAGAAGAGGGCTGGATATCCCCCTTTTATGAGATGTCATATGCATGGTTTATGCTTATGGGAAAGATTTAAAAGACTAACAATATCCAATGTTATTTAAAACTAGAGGCCCGGTGCACAAAATTTGTGCATGGGGGTTGTCCCTTAGCCAGGCCTGCACCTCTCTAATCCAGGACCCCTCTCACAATCCAAAACCACTGGCTCCTAACCACTCACCTGCCTGCCTGCCTGATCACCCCTAACTGCCTCTTCCTGCATGCCTGGTTGCCCCTAACGTGCATATGGCTGGGGTCCCTCATCCTGGCCTGTGCCCTCTCGCAGTCTGGGAGCCCTTGGGGGATGTCCTCAGGGGAGTGAGCCTAAGCCAGCAGTCAGGCATCCTTAGCTCTGCTACGGAGGCAGAAGAGGCTCCTACCACCACTGCTGCACTTGTCAACCGTGAGCCCAGCTCAATGCTTCTGGCTGAGTGGCACTCCCCCTATGGGAGTGCACTGACCACTAGAGAGCATCTCCTGCATTGAGCATCTGCTCCCTGGTGATCACTGTGCATCATAGCGACTGGTTGTTCCCCTATTTGATCAATTTGCATATTAGCCTTTTATTATATAGGATTATGAAAAAATAAGGATTCCCATATACTATTGGAGAGCAAATATTTATATAGGCTTTATTAGAGAGTAATTGGTAATTACACATTACATTTTTAAATGTAGATTTACTTTGACTCAGCAATTCCACTCCCAGGATAATAATTCTATTGGAAAGACCAAATAATTAATGTATAAGGATGTTCATTATATCATTTTTTATAATAGGGAAAACTGGAAAAAAAACACAAAATGCACATTAATAGAGGGTTATTTAAATTCATGATGCCACATACCCAAATATAACTAGTATCTTATGGTCTATTTTTCATAAGGAGTTATATTCAAAATAAAGTAATTTAGTATCTTTAAAGAACATTGAAAAGATCTAACTCATAACTCTGGGCTTCATTGAAGAGTTTATCCTTGTTATATAGCCTTATAGTTGAATACTTGGAGCACCGTATGTCAGATTAAGGAAATAAGGTGGATGGATATATATATATGAACGCAGAACAATATCTAAAACATGTTGTTCAATTTTAATATGTTGTTCAATGTTATAAAATAGCCTTGGCCAGGTGGTTTAGCAGGTTGGAGCATCATCCTCTGCATCAAAGTGTTGCCTGTTTGATCCCCAATCGGGATGCATACAGGGAGCAACTGTTGTTTCTCTCTCATCTCTCTCTCTCTCTCTCTCTCTCTCTCTCTCTTTGTAATAAAAGAAAAAAATTGTGAAATAAAATCTATAGCATGATCTCATTTGTTTTTTAAAATAGAAAAGCTTCCAGCTTCATGTAGTGGCAGAGTAGTGTGTATCCGACGAAACCTCTCACTGATAATAATTACAAGCTCTGTTTACGTATCTGTTTCATGGCACTGGAGAGGGGCTGAGAGCAGGCATGGGCTGGAGGAGCTAGAATCCATTTACCTGGCTCTCCCCTGCAGATATTCACTAGTCCGCAGAGCACAGACTTATTGAACTGAATAAAAAAAGGCCAGTGCACAGGGCTGCCAGAGCAACTGGGAAATGAAGAAGCCACTAATGGGGGGCGCCCCCAGATCTATGTACAAACTCTTCTCAAAGCCTTGGCTAACCCTTTAACTGCAAATGCACAGGGCAAGACTCCAAGGAGTGCAGCAGAAAACAACAGCTGGTGGCTGAAAGAGCTGAGCAGAGATTTTAGCAGCTGCCTGGTGCTGGGGAGGTAGAATTGGAAGTTAAAATCTACAAAATTAGAGGGGCTTAAACTAATAAACATCTCTTTCATTTCTGTGATATGCAGAAGCATCATATCTTAGATATAAGGACCACATCCCAGGACTCTGAGCTAAACCCTAGGACTAAGGGCAAAAAATAAAATATAACTAGCCCAGTGAAACGTAGAAACAAGCCTGCAAATGATTAAGGATAGCCACAAGAAATTTAGCTCCTTTCTTAAACAACAGCCAATACTCATCAGAGGAAGATAACAGAATTTAGATTTTTCACGATGTATCTTTTGCAATGTCCAGTATGCAATAAAAACTACCAGACACACAAAGAAGCAGAAAAATGAGACCCATAGACAAGACAGATGTTGAAATTAGCATTTAAGGACTTTAAAGTTGCTATTATAAATATGTTAATTTACAGGAAAAATAGAATGTCTGAAAATATGATGATTTCAGGAAAGATATGAAAATGGTTTAAAAAGAATCATATGGTAATGATAAAATGAAAAATGCAATATTTGAAATAAAAATTATCTGATAAAATATTGGGTGGGATTAACATCAGTTTGAAAATGGAAGAAAAAAGATCAAGAAACTTGAAGAAAAGTCAACAAAAATCACCAAACTGAAGAGAAAGAAAAAATATGAACAGCGCCTTAACTACCCACAGGAAAATAAGCCATCTACCATAAGTGTTATTCAGTAGTAGAGGAGAGCATTAATGGAACAAAGAATATTTAAGGAAGTTTGGCTGAAATGTTTCCAATCCTATATAATAAAGAGCTAATATGCAAATGGTCATCACACCCTTATGCCATAAAGGCTCAGACACTCTACACTGGGAAGAAAGGAATGGGGACCAGCCAGGCACAAATGAGCTCATAAGAGAGGAATGGGGACCAGCCAGGCTGCAGCCTGGGAGAGCGACAAACCCCTGCCCCGCAGTTCTGGGTGCCAGCGGCTGCACCTGCGCCTGTGGCCTGGGAGAGGGACAAGCTGCATGCCCCGAGGTCCCAGTCACCAGCAGCTGCACCTGTGCCTGCGGCCCGGCCTGGGAGAGGGACAAGCCTCACTCCCCACAGTCCCAGGAGCCAGCTGCTGGGGCTGTGGCCCAGGAGAGGGATAAGCCACCCACCCCACGGTCCCAGGCACCAGTGTCTGCATCTGCACCTGTGGCCTGGGAGAGGGACAAGCCGCCTGCCCCGTGGTCCTAGGTGCCTGTGGCTGTGGCCCAGGTGAAGCCACCCGCCCATGGTCCTCTGTGGCTGCAGCAAGCCCAGGGGAAGCCATCCCGGGTCCTGGGTGCCTGCGGCCAGCCAGAGGGAGGGAAGCCTGGGTCCTGGGTGTGGGGAGAGGTAGAGGCGGTTAGGGGCGATCAGGCCAGCAGGGAATAGTTAGGGGCAATCAGGCCAGTAGGGGAGCAATTGGGGACGACCAGGCAGGCAGGCAGAGGTGGTTAGAGGCGATCAAACAGATAGGCAGATGAGTGGTTAGGAGCCATCGGTCCCAGATTGCGAGAGGCAGTCGGAAATCTCCCAAGGGGTCCTGGATTGGAGAGGGTGCAGGCCAGGCTGAGGGACCCCGCCCCCCGTGCATGAATTTCATACACTGGGCCTCTAGTCTATAATAATAAAAGTGTAATATGCTAATTAGACTGACGTCCTTCCAGACGACCTTCCGGACAAAGCTGGGGCTGTGAGGGAAGCGCGGGTCCCAGGTGCCAGAGGAAAGCCAGTGCCAGCAGCCGGGGGAAGGAAGGCCTACTCTTGCACAAATTTCATGCATTGGGCCTCTAGTTTGATTAGTAATTTCAATCTATAAATCTAACAAGTCTAGTAAAACCACAAGCAGAGAAAAAAATAAATCCATATCAAGGCACATCATTGTCAAATGGCTGAAAACTGTTGGGAAAAAAAAGTGGTGAGTGGCATGGGGAGGGGCAGGACTTCCCAGACCCTTCTTCCTAGAAATACAACAATTTAACTCATGAACATTTATATCCTATATAATAAAAGGCTAATATACAAATAGACCGAAGGGCAGAACAACCAACCACTCGCTATGACATGCGCTGACCACCAGGGTGCGCGCACAGAACATGGAGGCTGTCTGCAGCAGGCAGCAGAGCACAGAAGATGGTGGGTGTCAGCCATGGCGGGATGGTGGAGCAGTGAGCGGGGGCACCAGACCAAGGCAAGGCGCCTGTCGCTGTCATGGGGGCAAGCCTCTGGTGGTTCCTGAAAATTCTTTGCTCCCTTGCACCACGTCCCGCCTGGCGCTCACACCTGCTGCTGGCGCCGGAGCCCCGGAGCCGCCACTTGCACCCACTCCCTGCACCCAGTGTCTGGAGCCGGCCCCGATTGCTCAGCACCATCAGCGGGTGCGAGCAGCAGCTGCTGGCCCCAATCGCCCTTCAGGGCTTCTCCACCACCCCAGCTGCCTCAGCCCCCGCAGCCCCGGCTTCATTTTTTTTTTTTTTTTTTGTGGAATCTGGACGTGCAATTGAGAAATGCGGAAAAGACATTTATTAACGAGCTATAAATTAGAGGTGGAAGGGGGGGTGGGAGGAGCCAGTGGTCACGTTTGTGGCCTCTTCTCTTTCTCTCTGTCCTCCTGGGCCTGGATTCGGAGCTCCTCCTCAAGGCGCTCCTTCGCTCGGACCACCTTTGACTGCAGGTAGAAGGAGCCGCCCACAGATTTATCATTCACCTTGAATAGGTATTCGTACTTCTGGATCTCCTCGGGGTTCAGTTTGGAGACATTGAGAATCTGCTGTGCCTCCTGGAGGCTGAGGCCGGAGAGGTTAGAGGCGGCTGCAGCTGCTGCCCGGCTGGCTGCAAATTCCTGCCGCAGGGCCCGGGCAAAGGCTCTGCCCACCACCTGCGCCCCCATCACAATGATCTGGGCCAGGTACTTGGCCATGGCAGCAGCTCTGCCTC